CTCCAGTATCACAAAATCATTCATTCCATTTTGCGACAGCCTCGAGGCAGCAGCAATGCCAGCTGCACCCGCTCCAACAATCACAACTTTTGCTTCCTTCGGCGTATCACAAGCTAAACAACATAAAATAATCCACAGGATCATCCTTAGAAATGAAGTAACACTAAAAATTATTATCAATGATAATTCTGAATTTTTCCTACCGGCGGACCAGACGGAAACCACATCAAGGATCAAAAAGATCGCAACCAGGCAAAAACGAAAATTCATCGCTGAATATAGTAAGATATATTGAGCGGAGGATTCGATGTCAAGGCTTTTGATGATGGAGACAAACTGTTGCCACGATTAACAGCGGTGGAAACTACATCTCATACCCCTTTAAACTTGTCGAGAATGAAAGAAGAGAGTGGACAAAAATAGCAGAAAGAGAGACAAAGAGGAGAAGAGACATCGTGAAAGATCAGGGTGGGGAACGATCCTAGAACTAGAATTGTGACTCCGACGACATCGACGTTGAATTTTTACAGTAGAAAGTTTAACTGAAATTGATAAAACAAATAACAATCGTTAGTTATACTAAGAATTAAATTATAATGTCATCTAATTTCTTTAATATATGTATATCTTTATACATATATTAAATTGTAATCTCAACAGAGTTTTATATTTAATTAAAACTAAGATAAATGTGATTAAGAATGCGTTTAATAATAATAACTTTGCAAGTATATTGTGTAATGTATATTAAAACTCAATACATTGTGAGTAGGAATATTTTAGCATTTATTCATAAAGTTGATACAATTATATAAATTTATATTCATCATAATAATGATTGTTTTAACAAAATAATACTGAAATGATTTTAAGAAATATATATTCTTAATAAAAGTTAACAAAATCTTTAATTTTAATTTATTATGTTATAAATGTTTTTATTGATTATTAATCGATAATCATTAAGTTAATTAACCAGGCTCCATAAAGCCGGTTTTTGCTCTCAACCGATTCAATTAATTTTCATTGGAATATCTCGTAGGGTCAAAATGACACGAGAATATATAATTTTTGATCGAAAAAGTAACATCACGTCGAAGCGCATAATGCACAAAAATATTGGTATCAACATTTATAGGAAATCACGTATTGTCGCGAGTAAAACGCGAGGTATCGAAATCAAATCACTTGTATGGGTCATACGATAATTCTAGATGTGTGCACAAAACATATCGTATTGATTAACGATGTCAGCATAGTTCAATATTATCTTGAATAACGAAATTCATTGATTTTTTCATGATTTAACTGGATCAAAAATATGTTGAGGCAAATACTGGAATTGGAATTTGTATATAATTCGTGTGATGTCAGAATTATGCTCGATTAATATAGCTTTGATTAAACTGTCAGGTAGTCCAACGTGAGCTTGACCAATAAAATTTCACGGTTTTCGCACGATTTAACCGGATTCAAACGCAGGTTGAGGCAAACACAGAAAAGACTGCATCTTGGCATTCATATATAATTCGTGTGACGGTGTCATAAGTATAATACTCGGTTATAATACGGCCTTGATGAAACTGTGGCTCGGTATAGTGCGACATGAACTTGAACGACGAAATCGTCACGATTTTCGCACGTTTTCGACAGGATTCAAGCGTAGATTGTGGCAACTACAAGAAAGACTATCTTGACACACGTATATAATTCATATGACGATGTCAAAAGTATGCTTGATTAATATGGCCTTGACTACATCTCGGCACTCGTATATAATTCATGTGATGACATCAGAAGTCGCACAAAAGTATGCTCGATTAATGTGGCCTTGATTAAATTGTGGATCGGTAGTGCAATATGAACAACGAAATTGCACGACTTACACACTATTTGAACGAATACGTTCCCCCTTCTACGTGATGTTATGTTTTCATTCAAAAATCATGTTTTCTCGTGTCTTTCTGTCAAATTTGCGACCGCACTCGCGAGCGAGATGCAACAGCCGCTTGTTCGCCGCTTTAATATAGACCGATTCGCAGAAAATAATTGATACAACAATCTACAAATGACTTTGCGGAAATTGCTCGTTAAGACACGCGTAAGCAAATTGGACGTTAGGCACGAGAGAGCGTGCCACTCTTCTCAGATTATTCGTTACACAACTCGTAAGTTTGATCTCAAAAATGGAATTATTTATTTCTCTGCAAAAAAAGATCAACTTTCAGAATATGTTCGGAATACCGCAAACAGCGACGGTTCAAAAGACCGACAGCTCAGCGATCAAAGCGAATAATAGCTAGCGCATTTCGCAAAAATTGATGAGATAAGAATAAATAAAAAAAGCTATTCCGATATGATCAATATTGAGACATATAAAAAATAATGTACAATAAAACGTAAAAATACGTAGCTATATATGTTGTCAAGGTCATGATCATGAACAACATTTATTAAAAAATTCTAGCCATTGTTCGGACACCTTGGGTAATGCTACGACTAATGCTCCTAATGTCGGCAGTACTGTAACTAATTTCAAGCTTTATAACTTGAAATTTACTCAACCAAAAAATATTTTATTATGATGTTTTGGAAAGCTCTCGACATCAACTATTAGGTTCTGGAATAAAAAATAAGGTGTCCCGTTTAAAAAAATTGATGTGACTTTGACCTGATCTTGCCGACGCCATCCAAAGTCACAATAATAGTCATAATGCTATCGAATGTGTTCCTTAAAACCCTAAAACTTTTATCTGAAATATTTTTTTTGTAAAAGACGTAGGAAAAAAATATTTGAGGATTTTTTCTTAAAATTTTTCTTAAAATTTTTTTTAAAATGATCCACCCTGTATATTGTTTGCTAATTTTGTATAAGTTTAATCTAAGTCAAAATTAGTCAGTTCTATAAGTTCTATATAAATTAGTCATTAATAAATGCTACATAAAAAAAATGTATCATTTAAAGATATTCTCAATACAGTAATGATTTAGCTACAATAGGAAACACAAAAATAACTACTAAATATAAATAACAAGTACAATAAATAAATTGTAACACATACGAGTAATATTTTTTTGTTATGTTGTAATACATTTCATATAAACTATATTTTACTAAATACTATATCAATTTACAATGTTGAATTTTACATTAGAGCATAATTAATGTACCATTGTATATTATTGTATGTATTTTTATACAAATGTTTAAATCTTATAAATAAGAGAATACCTCTTAATTGCTCATATCTTAAATATATTCACCTGTTGCGAATATTGCAAATTGCAAATATATTTCCAGTTTTCCATAATCCGCATTAGAAGGATACAGTTATAATAAATGTAGTTAGAGAGAAGAGTTCAATTGTCTAAAATAATACATGTAATTAATATAAGTATAATTGCAAAATTATTTGTGCACGATCTGAAGTCAATATGTTCAAAAGTAACAACAAATAAGTAGAAAAACGTTTACTTTTATTAAATTTTATGCAACTTTGTGATAAGCTATACTTATCAAATTGATAGTGATCAGATTTTGATAAGCAATTATGTAAATCTCAAAACAAAATCATGTAACAACAGCAAAAATTAGCAGATAAGAATAAGAATTATTATATTACATATAATTACATATAATTCATTATAGGCATTACATAGAAATGTACATCTTAATAAATAAAATTTTTTTAACAGATCACTCACTTTTTGTTATTTAATTTTTATTAAACCAAAAAAAATTTATAAATTATAAATTTAAAAAATATAAGTTTTAATAAAATATAGATAAAATATTTTTTAACAAAAAATGTTTAACGACTCAATTTTTGGTAACTTTTAAAATTGTTTTTGATTAAGTAAAATTATCAACGTATGTGAGCATTATTAAAATATAATAATAATTAAAATATTATAATTTTGTAATATACTTTATAATATTATATTGTTGTATTTATTGCTTTTGATTATATCAAGCTTTAAATGAATTTTAATTAACATTATTTTACCTTTCAAAATCAATTAGTCTATCCGCTTCGCGAAAACCAGTTTCCACGGCGCCATGCACGGTGGAATAATAATGATCATGTGTAGCTTCTCCAGCGAAAAGGATCACCTAATTACGATACATTTCATTAATGTAATAATCTTTGTAATAATCTTTTATAATACGATAATAACAGTTACATAAGATAGAAAAACGTGGTACATGTATAAGCTAAAGCTAAAAATAAATGAACATATCTTGGGTATTATTATCAAAAAGAGAAACTAACATAAAATGAATAATGAGGAGATTAACTATAATATTTCAAACGATAATTTGTATAATAATTAAAAATATTATGTTAATTTCATTTTTGGATTACATACAGGTTTATTTCCAGTCATAATTGGCTCGGCTAGATCTATCGGTTTTACATCCATTTGCTCGGCAAGCATGCTTTGAAAACTATACGAGCCTCGAGAATGTTCGTTGGTATACCATTTAGACCTAAAAGTTTTAGAAAAATAATTTTAAATTTTATAATTTAATTGTTTTTCTTTCAATTATTTCCAATGGAAAATTACCTTAACATTTTTGTTGGCTTCACAACATTATAATGACTTTCAAACGATTTTTGTAACAATAAATACAATCCGTCGAATACGTCATCATCCGATAAGGTTTCCATATGTCTCGCGTTTTTTCCGACTATCCAAGCACATAAAAGATTCGGCTGATAAGCTACAGTCACAATCGAGAACACATCGCAAAGCCACTCGTTATTCTGGAACAAAGTTGATGAGATTAGTAAAGGATAAAAAATTTTAAAAGTCGTCAGAATTGGTTTTCAAACACAAATTATTGTTTATTATAATCTCTAAGTCCAAATAAAATTACATTCGAATGTTTGCTTACTTGACCATAGGTTTGCAAGAATTCCTTCTTATCTTGTTCCGGCCAGATAAAATCAAAACCGGCTTTATCCTCCGGCCACCATCTATGCGGAAATTCAAGGAAAACTTTGTTCACCGTTCCAATAGTTAATCCCTAACAAAATGTTAATTAATATCAATTGTAATAATAATAATAATCAAGCACGTGTTATTTTACAGCATTATATTATTAATAAAACCTCTATTGCGCGTTGTTTTTTCTGTGACAAAGGTGGAACGAATATCGAGGCATGTTTCTCCTTTAGAACACCTAGAGACCCAGTAAATATAACATGCAATGCCGAGTACTCACAGCCGTCTCTGGTAATCACTGTCACATTCTCGCCTGAACTATAATTGATAGTTGCCACGACTTTACCGAACTCTATCTTTTCCATCACTGGCAAACATTCCTCTGCATTCGGAATCTTTTGCTGGTAAAATTCATAATTACATACTTAATTAGGAAAAATAATAAGTAAAATATATGCACTGATCACGTATTATTTTAATACTTTATATTTAAAAATGTATATTAAAAATTTATTATACTGTTCGATATTAATTTAATTTGAAAATAGTGATTATTTCTGTAATAGAATATATTTTAACTTTCACTGATCCTTTCAGGCATTTTGTAAAATGGAACGTTACGAAAAATATTATTGGGCAACGCGATTTTCAATTCAATTTGTATTAAGTAATTTCTTACTAATAGCAGATCAAAAATTGTTTTATAACCATGCTCCTTCCAACCCAATAACTGATCGCCCTCGCATTCCCAATATTCTGTAAAACGCTTCGCAGAAACGTCAAACCATGAGTCGCTTCCGTCTGCAGAGTTTTCCGCCTTTTCCATCCAAGATAGATATTCATCAACTCGAGAACGATTCATAAAAGGTTTTTCGTCGAAAGTTTTATAATATCTACAACATTAATGTTAGAACTAAATTAATTATTTTCATTAGTCATAATATACAAGGTATGTAAATAAAGTAATAAGACTGCCTGACTATCACACAATCTGGCGATATTGCGGAATCGCCCTTCTCGTGAAGGGTTAATCGTTCGTAGACCTGCAGTATAAGTTTCAAGTCGCTATAAAGTCGCAGGTTAATTTTAGTGTAATTCTTTTTGAAACAGTTTTTGTATGTATGTCACAAAAATGGAAGAGCGCAATTTCGAGCAACGTTGTGTGATCAAATCTTGTGTCAAACTTGGGGAAAACAGTATTGAAACTTTCAATAAATTAAAACCTTTGGCTTAACATGCATTGTGGAAGTCACAAGTGTTTAAAGGACATAAGGCATTTTCAAAAGGCCGTGAATCTATTAAAGATGAACCCCACTCTAAAAGTCAGGTGATTGTCCATAAAAAATTTGTACCTCAAAGACAAACTGTTAATCAGTTTTATTACTGTGAGGTTCTTGAGAGATTAAAAAAAAGTGTTGTTAGCGTGCGACTAAACATTGCGAACAATTGGATGCTCCATCACGACAATGTTCCTTGTCACACAGTGATCTCTGTGACCGAATTTTTATTAAACATAATATTTTTCTTAACAAAATAAACAAAAATATTCTTAACGCTTATTTTCTAATTAATTTCTATATAATTAATAATTGTATATTTTTAATCATATACAAAAACAAATGTACTTACTCTCGTATTATGTAATCTCCTAAAGATCCTCTTTCCTCTTTCAATTCTATCTGCGTCACATTATCCAGAATATTTTCAAAAATCGTTAGAGCTTTGCTGCTTTCTTCGCAGGGCATTATTTCACCATTAATTGTGACAAATTCATGTTTGCTGTTATCTCGAAGAACTGCGAATGAACTCAGCAGATTATGTTTGGAGGCAAGATCGAATACTACGTTTCCAGATTGTCCATGAACCCACTGAGCCCCGAGATCTACCACATTTTCACCTGAAAATATAAAAATCTTACTCAAACTTTTCCTAAATACTCAAAATATCAAGGATGCAAAATAGAATCTTATAATTCATTTCAAAGATAATATGCAAAGCAAAATTCTCATTGATTCAAGATTAAGTTGAGAAATTATTATTTACCAAAGTCTTTGGTATATATTCTGCCACCGATTCTATCGTTGGCCTCCAGTATCACAAAATCATTCACTCCTCTCTGCGACAGCCTCGAGGCAGCAGCAATGCCAGCTGGACCCGCTCCAACAATCACAATTTTTGCTTCCTTTGACGTATCACAATCTACAACATAAAATAATCCATAGAATCCCTAGCGATGAAAAACACTAAAAACTATTATCAATGATAATTCCAAATTTTTCTTACCGGTAGACCGAACGGAGACCACATCAAGGATCAAAATGGACGCAACCAGGCAAAAACGAAAATTCATTGCTGAATAATAAAAGATATTGAGCGGAGGAGCCGACGTCAAAGCATTTGACGATAGAAATAAGCTGGTGCTACGATTACTAGCGGTGGAATCTACAAGCGTCTTTTTCCCATCTCTCCTTCTTAATTGTATAGAATGAAAGAACAAGATAGATAAAAATAGCAGAAAGAGACGAAGAGAAGAAGAGAGATCGTGGAAGATCTGAGTGGGGAGCGATTTTAATAGACTATGAATCGTGACTTCATCGAAGATATCGACGTTGAATTTTTATAGTAGGAAATTTAACTGGAATTGATAAAATTAATAGCAGTTATTAATTACACTAAAAGTTAAATTATAATGTGTCTTAATAGTTTTGTGTCTACTTAAAATTAATATAAATGTAATTTAACATGCGTTTAGTAATAATAACTTTGCAAAAGTATATAGTGTAATATATATTAAAAATGCAATATGTGTTGCGTAAAAATATTTCAATATTTATATCATAAAATTGGTACAATATAATATAAAATTATAATTATTATAATGATTGTTTCTAAAAATAAAACTAAAATAATTTTAAAAAATGTTCTTACAATTAGTAAAAATTTTAAAAACTATTTTAATTCTTTATATAATAATGTTTTTTTATATTATTAATTAATGGTCATAAATTTCAATCGTTTAATATTAAATTAAAATTGGTTTGTTGTAAACACATGAATCTTACTTTTACACTGTAACATTTTTGCGATAAAATAAAAAAAGTTCCATTACAAGTTCCATTGATTGAGATGCATTTTCTCACCGTCGAAATATTGTAAATACCACACATGTCGCGTCAATAGGCTAACAATCTTGCACGATCGCCTCCTTTGACATTTGCTAAGAATAAGTGAGTTCAAGTGAACATTATTCACCTTTGATCAACATTTGATTGGTCAATTAAAAATTTTCAATTCTGACGCAATCAAAGCGAAATAACAGCTGATGCAATTTTGCAAAAATTGGTAAAATAAGAACAAATAAAAAAAGAAATTTCGATATAATTAATATCCAGAAATATAAATAATATATTTGTACAATAAAACGTAAAATATATACGGACAGCGTTGTGTAAAATAGTACAAATAAACATAAAAAAATAAAAGTTGTTTAATAATAAATAAATTGCAAATTTACATTAACATTTTACATTTAATAAACTGTATAATAATTAATTTTTGCTACAGGATGTATAAACATACACATAAAATTAAAATAAATAAAAAATACGTATTATTAACGAACTTTATGATAACCAGAAAAATGCCTTATTATGTGTTCAAATAATTTTATTGTATGATTATATTTACATATCTACATATCGACATGTATGTGTATTTAATTGATATTCGTGTGATGTTGCAAAAAAACTTCGGCTTGATGAACTCCTGTCTCGTAAACTCCGTACGTCGTCAAATAGATATTGTCATGCGTAGCTTCGCTGGCGAATAATATGATAGAATCTGTTATATTTGCAAAAATCAATTTTGATGTGTTTCTTAAATCTATATTTTTGCATAATTTTGCATTATTTCAATTAAATTTAATAAAAGACTTCAAATTGGAATTATAAAATCTTAAATTTAAAATTTAAAAGCAATATACTGAACTATGCTTTTATCACAATGCAAAAATAGGATCCAACTGTTACCCTATGGAATAGAATGAATTCTTTTAACTATGTTCTGGGCCGTGGAATAACATAGAAAAATCTTGATGATTTTATTTAATTTTTCATTTCTTTAGATAATATAAGTTTTTGTACTACAATTAATTTATGTCTTAGACTGTCTTAAAGATTAGTTAAAGGAATCAGATTGAATAAAAGATTAATTAAGATCAAATTTTTAACAGATATCATGTGCATATATCCACGAGAAAATAATTTGTGAATTCCGTGTTCTTCACAGTTTTCACCGTGTCGCCAATTCTACAATTCCTGCAACTACTATAATTCGGCCGGAGCCGAACGCCGAGCAGAACGCCGTCCGAATCTATCGAGCAATAACATATTGCCTTTCAACCTAATTCTCTAATCGCGACCAAATTCTCTAATCTTTTCACGACAGTGTTTAATTGAGTTGTCTGTAAGTATTCCAAAGTATTATATTTTATTTCATTTTATTTTATTTTATTTTATAAATGTAATAAACTTATGTATTCCAGACGCAGCGCTTTCTACTTGCATATCCCATTCGCGAATCTTTCTTTTCATTCTTAGTGTCTCGCCGAGACTCGAAGGCGTGCGCGGACATTTTGCTACTACTACGACTCTAATTCTTTTTATTCTTTTATATTTTCAGGTGAAAATGTATAGTAGACCTTGGAGCGCAATGGATTTATGAACAATCTGAAAACGTGGTGTTTGACCTTGTCTCCAAACATGATCTACTGACGCGCTCGCTCAATCTCTATCCGCAACGCTTCACCGAAGATGTCAATCAGTTAAATGATTGCACGTTCTACGATATGCAAAGTAATCTAATATATCTCACTTAGGCTGCATTGCAGAGTTGCTTTTCTTCTGCTGAACGCATAAACACTTATACATATAGGTACACGTATTATATATTGTTTACTGATTTTATATATGTTTATTCTAAGTCATTATTCTATTCTATAAAAGCTACATAAAATTGTACGATTTAAAGATATTCTCAATAGAATAACTATCTATAAACAAGAAAATAATTACAGAATGACTACATATAAATAATAAACACAATATAAAAATTATAATAACAAATACAAGTAACTCTCTAATAACGTTATGATATATTTCGTATAAATTATATTTTCCAAAATACTAACATTTACAATGTTAAATTTTACACTATTATAGTGTACAATATATTGTTATATTATATAAATATTTAAATTTTACAAACAAGTACCTAATAGTTATATCTTAAATATATATTCTCCTGTTCGCTTGTTGCAAACATTGAAAATTGCAAACATATTTCTGGTTTTCCATAATCCGTTCATTATAAGGACGCAGGTGTAAGAAACCGTAGTTAAAGGTGGGAATTTAATTGCCTAAGAAAAATACATGTAATCAATATAAATATAACTGCAAAATTATTTGTATCGATTTGAAGTCGATATGATCAAAAGTAACAACATCTAAGCAGAGAAGCTTTTACTTCTTAAGTTTCATGCAAAATTGTGATAAGCTAACTTATCAAGTTAATTGTGATCAAATTTTGATAAACAATAACATGAAATACAAAATCGTGCAACAGCAAAAATAAGCAGATAAAAATAAGAATTATTAAATTACATATAATACATGCATTACACAGATTTGTATATCTTTATATACTAAAGTTTAATTGATTTCCCTTTTTTTATTTAATTTTTATTAAATTAAAAAAAATTCAAAATTTATAAGTTTTAATAAGAAATAGATAGAACATAGATAGAAAATAGATAAAACATTTTTTAACAATAAATGTTTAAAGACTCAATTTTTGTAACTTTTTAAAGCGTTTTCGATTAAGTAAGATGATCAACGTGTATTTGAACATTATTAAAAATTATAATATTATATTGTTGTAAGTACTTATTTTGATATTAAGCTTTAAATGAATTTGAATTAACATTAGCTTACCTTTCAAAATCGATCAGTCTGTCCGCTTCGCGGAAACCAGTTTCCACGGCACCATGCACAGTGGAATAATAATGATCATGTGTAGCTTCTCCAGCGAA